GGCCCTACCACACGGGCCTGACTCAGGTGGTCTAAGGCAGGGCCCAGGCGTTTTAGTTCAAAGCACCCTATGACTTCAATATGCAACCAGGGGTGAGACCAACTGCCACAGAGGCGGCCCATCACTTTCTGTGTGTATCCTCAAATGTGTTGAAAGCCTGAAACGCCCCTTCCAAATCATCCTGGTCTTGGGTTCCTGCTCTGTGGCCCCGCTCTTTGAGATTACTGGTGTTTGTGAAAGTTTATTGAGCTTGTCATCGCCAGGCCAGAATGGGGTGACAAGCCTGCCTTGCCCCATAGTTCTCACTGAATGAAGAAGTGGGATCTTTTTCGTTTTCTGTCATGGGTGTCACTTGTATCGCCAGTTAATAACTTCTAGACTTGTCCTGGAGATGCTTCTCATGGGGGTGAGCATGTGCCTTCCTCAGGCTTCCACTAGAGATACTGTCCAGCCGCCTCAGCTTCTCAGGTACCCATTGGTGATATATGCCAGGTGCCAAAGAAGTGTCTCTTCTTGCCTACATGGTAAAGAGGGGAGGAGGTCAGGGCCAGAGAGTGCTGGAGTGGGTGACCGTTGCAATGATTGCTAAGATTTCAGGCCCCATAGAATGCAGTTAACAGTGGGAGTATATGAACCTAAGAGCTTTATTGTTTTGAAATCTGTCTCAGTTTAGAATTATGATTGCAGTCATTTGATTCTAGCACTGAAATACCTATTATTAAGATCCTAATCTATGAACAAGAGAAAAAAATACAGGTATCTATTTAAAGAGAGGACAGGTATGTGGTGCTATGTGCTCTTCACCATATTAAGAAGAAACATAGGAGGTCAATGAGGAAAAGGTTGTGACGAATGGGAGAGGAAGCATACCAGGGGCTGACTCTAGGTCCCAACTCTTGACCTACAGGCCAGTGACCCACCTCCAAGCAAGTCACCCTCTCTCCTTTAGCCTCAGTTTCTTCATGAGTAAGTTGGGAACTACAGTACTTATCTCAAAGGCTTGTTGTGAGGGATTATGTCAGATAATATCTGTGAAAGTTCTTCTGCAAGTTCCAAGCTCTGTATAATTATTACCTATGACTATCAGTTTGAGAAATTGGCTTTCATAATAAGCAGCTCAATTAACCTGCAATCTCTCTGCTGGCTCAGGAGGATCTACTGCTGGGATGGGCATGCAAGGGCTCACATGAGTGTCTCGACCTCAGCCACATCCTCAAACTTTCTTCTCTCAGTCACTGTTGTGCTCAGAGACATTTTGAGTGTGAGGCCAGGAGAGTGTGGCCAGTGAAGGGAGGAGAAGAAGTAAGTGGATCCAGGAAGAGAATGAAAAGCGGTTAGCTCCAGGACCAGGGGATGGGAGTGGGAGTAGTGAGAAAAGAGTGGCTGACGTGGAGAAAGGCTGTCCAGAAGAGTCTCTGCCAGGAGCTGTCCACATGCCTCTTAATCTGTGCTGTGCTCTCACCCAGGGGTGTAATGGGGAGATGCCAGTTCCCTCTGAGCCCAGTGCCTGTGTAGAGGATGAAAAATAATTTTTTCTCTACGTTTTTGGGGTCTTGACTGAGATCTCCATGCAATAAAAAACAGATTAACAGGAGAAAAACAAACAAAAAATTAACATATATACCTCCAGTACACACGGGAGAGACCCAGGAACACTGAGCAACACCCCAAAATGGCCCAAGCCATAACCTTAATTCTATCTCCAGCTAAAGACAAAAGAAAGATTTGGGGGCATGAGGAAGGCCAGTTATGGTAGGTAACCAGGAAAAACACAGGGAACAAGGGTAAGGTTGTTGTGCAGATTTAAATCCATGCCTCTCCATTGATGAGAGTTTCTAAAAATTTAGTCTTGTCCTCTTCCTGGAACAGAGAGGTAGACATCCTTACAAATGGAGATTTCCTTTATTAATGTAAATGTCTCTTACAAATGATAAGTTTTACTTAGGTTTTCAGAGTTTTTCCTATGTCTGTTATTTCTTAAAAATAATCAGCCTTAAATAATCCTTATGTCAAGGATGCATATTTTGGGATGGCAAATTCTGCTTCATTTTACCTGCCACAGAAGCACCCCTGGAAGCCAGCAGAGAGGATTCAGGAAGCATTTGCTGAAATGATGGAAAGCTTAGTTGTACATCTCGCACATCGGCAACTCATTGTCTACAGCCAAGCACACCAAGGGGAGAGTGGCTGTGGAGCCTCCAGTGGACAAGGGCCGAGGAGTCTTGGTGTCACAGCAGTAGCTCCCTGGCTATTATCGTGATAATGAAGAAAAGTCCTGAGGTCTCTGAATGCTTTCTGACATGTCTGTGCAAACACAGACTGTCTTGGGGAGAAGGGTCCCCTGGAGCTGGTACCCCAGAATGGCTTGGGTGGCCAGCAGGCAGTCAAGCACAGGAAATCTGCCCACAGCTCAGAGACTCTTTGTTTATGGCTAAGGAGGCTTTGCCTTTGGACTGGAGGATAATGAGGTTCTACCATGTCCTTTTTACCAGTCCTATGATGTGGTTTCTTATTGGCAATTGCCCATTTAGCTGTTATGTTCAGTTCCTGCCAGGCCCTTCTTTAAGGATGTTGAGAAAACACAGGCAGTAAACGTTCAGAGATGGTTCTCGAGCATCAGGCCGAGGGCAGAGTCTGGTGCCCTGCACCTCTGTGTCTTGCAGGAGCTGAGTCTTCCCTATTACCTCTCTTGGGGTAGAACCACATGAACGACCTGTGTGTAAACTTTGCTTCCTTACTTCCTTGCCAAGATCATCGATAACATTTTCTACACCAACTAGCTGCCGGACTTGGTACCAAGGTTAACTTTATAGTTCTCTAAAACCCTAGGTGGTGGATGCCATCATTTTTCTCATGGTTTATATGAGAAAACTGAGGTATGGATAGGTTAACTGACCTGTGACCTATGCAGGATCACATACCTTAATGGGTGGGGATGCTGAGAGACAAACCAGTGGCTTGGATTCAAAAGGCCATGCTGGGTAAGACAGACTCCGAGGACAGACTCAAACCCACCCCTCGGCAATGGCTCTGAACAACTTTGGGTGTTGGGTTTCCTTTAATCATCGTGGTAGCACTTTGATTCTGAATATTGAGCTCTTGTAGACTGTCTTTATAGCCAGTTGTAGATGACTTAACATGGGGAAGAAAACTTGGACTTTATCTGACTCAACCTACTTTTAAGTAAAATGCAAAATAAGTTGAGATTCAAGACTCTCTTTAATCCTCCATCTCATTAGCCTGATGGCACTGCGACATTAATCTAAGTGGTTAATGGACAAAGTGGGTCAATCCAGCTTTAGCTTAAGCCAGGGGTGGCTGCAGTGCTGCCAAGGCAGTCTTCCTTCAGGAAAAACATCTTCTGTTACTAGCCGTGAAGGAGCGCCCTCCAGGGAGTTGCCCTCACTGGGCAGTGATAGTGAGCTTGTATCATCATTCCCATACTTGTGGTCAATGCAGGACTTGTGGTCTCAGTTGATTAGGGATGATTCGAAGCTGGAAGTTTAGAATATCCTACTAAGAGGTAAATATTTGCTCAAAAATGATGTAGAAATTGTCTTCTTTTTCTTTTTCTTTTCTTTTCTTTTTTCTTTTTTTTTAATTCTTGGGCCCAGGTAAGAATTGATCAGAAATCTCTATCCCATAGCTAAAAGAAAATTGTACATTTCTGACCAAAACTGAGTGTCCAATTAGTTAACACATCTCCTTTGGATGTATATACATGAGTGTGTGCTCAACCTTGGTCCTACCATGTGCTATAAACTGTGTGTTGAACACTATAATAATGACTGTATATCAAATATATACCATATGTCATGCATGTTCAGAATATATTATGACCATTAATTGTTTTACTTCTCATTAAACTCACACGAGGTAGATATTAACCCCTTTATTTTTACAGAAGAGGAAAAGAAACCCACAGCTTCTAAGTGTCAGAGCTGTGATTTAATTCATGCAGTCTGACTGCCAAGCCCATATTCCTTAATTGTTAAGCAAAACTGGTTCAGTTTTATAAACCTCCTAACAACTGAATGAAGTAGGAGGAATTATTCCCTTTTATTCCCATTTCGCATATGAGGATGCTGAGGCTCAGAGAGCAAATATGGCAGTTTTACATTATTGATTCTTTTTCTTGTTTTTGTTTTGTTTTGTTTTGTTTTGTTTTGTTTTGTTTTGTTTTGTTTTTAGTGCTAATTGTCACCATAAAACTGCATATTGGTCCAATTATGGCCTGTAGCCACTGTAGGGTGTAACAATTTTGCCTACATACTTTTGCTTGATTAATGCTGCAATAGTATCATACAAGTGTTTTGTTTTGTTTTTTTAATGGTATCTGAAGTATTTGGGGAAGCTTCTAGATTTGTGTCTTGGGAATTTCCTCTTTGCAAGTTTGTATCAGTTTATACTTCATCTGATTTCATTCAATTTTTTGGCTGCTGTATACTTTGTTGTCTTCAGGTATGCTTTTCGGAAGAAAGGTGTTTTGTCAGTGGTCTCTGTGATGAAGCCAGTACAGCTTGGCTGAGCCAGGGTGACATGTGCCCACAGCACATTTATCCAGGGTTTGTGAGCACCTAAAGGCAGGGAGGGCTATGGGCAGAAAAATCTCTGGGAGGCCCAGGTGCTATTATTTAGGAAAGACACATACCCAGAGGCCAAACATCTTTAGTTCTGACATCAGATGTTTGAGACTGTCTAAAAGTTGGATACCCTAAAAAATAAGTGAAGAGGTGACATCTACAAAAGGATCTTAGAGTAACCTGTATCTTACTGTTTTTACCATGAGGAAGGTGCCTTTACATTTTAGTTAGATAGTGTCTGGCATCAAACTTCAGATGGGACATTACCTTGCTTTCATTTTTTCATGCTTCTACAATTTTTGGGGGGATGGGGGAGGTGGATCACAAGGTTAATAGTGTTAGTAGTGTTGACAATGAAATGCGTGATCAAAGAGGCATCATATTCTGACCCAGGTTTGCTCTGTTTGCTTTTCTCAGGGACCTGATGCCCCGAACCCTGGAGGGGCAGATCACCATGGAGAAGACGCCCAGTTACTTTGTTACCCGGGAGGCGCCCGCGCGCATCTCGGCCATGTCCAAGGACACCAAGCTCATCGTGGTGGTGCGGGACCCGGTGACCAGAGCCATCTCGGACTACACGCAGACGCTCTCCAAGAGGCCTGACATTCCCACCTTCGAGAGCTTGACCTTCAAAAACAGAACCACGGGCCTCATCGACACATCGTGGAGCGCCATCCAGATCGGCATCTACGCCAAGCACCTGGAACACTGGCTGCGCCACTTCCCCATCGGCCAGATGCTTTTCGTGAGCGGGGAGCGCCTCATCAGCGACCCGGCCGGCGAGCTGGGCCGCGTGCAGGACTTCCTGGGCCTCAAGAGGATCATCACCGACAAGCACTTCTACTTCAACAAGACCAAGGGCTTCCCCTGCCTGAAGAAGGCCGAGGGCAGCAGCAAACCCCACTGCCTGGGCAAGACCAAGGGCAGGACCCACCCCGAGATCGACCGCGAGGTGGTGCAGAGACTGCGGGAGTTCTACCGGCCTTTCAACCTCAAGTTCTACCAGATGACTGGGCTCGACTTTGGCTGGGATTGAAAGCATCGGGACCACGCAATTTACCACTTGGCTTATATATTGAGAGAGATTATATGTATGTAAAATGTACAGAAATCTATTTTATAATAATTTATTTTTAATTCATAAGCAATTAATTCACTAAGCTGCCTAGCCACACTCTTTAGAGAGTTAGCTTCATAATCTGTTAACATTCCAAAGTGTTTAACTCTAATATTTTTTTTCCTTACAATTGATGGTGCTTCCATTCCCCCTCCCCTCTCCCCATTATATTTAAAAAGAAGAAAAGCACAACTTGAGATTTTTTTGTTGTTACGGGTATGCAGCCTTCGATCGCTGTCTGAATTCACTTGCCATCTCCTTGTGTCTTGGGTCTCATATCCCAGCTTCCATTTCTCTTCCTGCCTGTGTACCTCGTAGGAGTGCTGAGCTGCCTCAGCAGTGCTGCACTCTGAAGGTGAGACCTCATGTAGCAGCTTCTTCGTCAATGTGATGCCATTTCCAAGGACATAAATGCCAGACTACCAAGCTAAGTTTCCCCCACATCTGCTCAGTACATGGGGGAATCACTGCCTTGGCAGGAATATCCACATCCTTTTAGAGCCTGTGTGCCAGGGTCCGCTTACTTCAGACTTTGAGTTTGAGGGATAGCCCTGCATCTTCTTCTGCCCCAGTCCATTAACCAGCTTGAAATGTATGCAAATGTCAGCCCTTTCTTTCCCAGGTCATGTGTATGCGATGCTTGGGTGCTGCTTTAGAAATAAAGACAGTCTCTTCTAATTTGCATGAGAGTGCACCACACTTTGTTCTCCAGGCAGACAGTTCTGCTTTGACACACCAAAGAATCTCCTAGGCTAGCAGAACCACAGCCACAAACTAAGGGTGCCAGGTGTTGAGACCCAAAGTGGTCAGGTGCATCCAATGCCATCATCGTCTACCAAGGTGCTGCTAGGTGCAGAGTCAGCCATGTGAGGCACATCTCAGTATGCTGACAGCCTCAATGGAAGGAAAGAGAAAGACCCCTCAAAAAAAACAGGTGCCCGGCAGAAAAAGGGAATTCTTGCCCCTCTGCTTGATGTCTGGGACTCTTCTCCTTGGAATTCCCAGCTCATCTCAGATTGACAACATGGTCTATTGTAGCCAACAGCCAAATGGCGAGTACCAAGAGTGGCCCTTGTAAGGACAGGCTGGGAAAGCTGGCCACATGTTGCCTGCAAGCACTTAGCACTTGAGCCTGACACTTGTGCAGCTGTCCCTTGTTTTCGCCAGGTCTTGGCAGAAGGGTTGCCAGCATTGTTGCTGCTAATGCAGATTGCTCTCCCCATACCTCTCTGTTGAGAGAGGAATTGGGAATCTTTTATGATAACTAGCTAGTGGCAGTTGGGTAACACATAGCAATATCACATAATGACATTCACTTTATCCTAAACCAGAATGCTTTTTAAACCAGAATGATTCTACCATAAAAGAATTGTTCTTTCAGTTACACATTCATCAAGGCATATGTAGGAAGATATACTTATTGTCAAAATGGTTGGGTTATGATATTTACAAAGGACGCTTTTGTATTTTGTAAGGGATAACTTGCTCAATAGAGTAAGAAAACTTACATGAAAAGAGAAAATATAATTCATCTTTAGAAACTGATCTGAGATGTCAATGGTTTTTAAATGATGTCTTGTTGATCACCTGTTTTGTGTTCACCCACAAGTTTTAGCCCAGATCTAGCTAGGTTATGCTTAGCAGCAAAACTGTTATTAGGTTCTGTGTAGGAGGGTGGGGACGGGGGCTCTGAGCATTCCTGAGATGTTCTATTTATTTCCTAGCTTTGTTACTGCCTCTACCAAGTAGTGTAGAACCTATACTTAGGGAAATGCCATAATCATGACCTGGTTCTCCCCTTTTGCTGCTTGGGTATCAAAGACATCTGCATAAGGGTGCTAATTGGTCATGCATTTTTTCAATCAGAAGACTCATTTGAAATAAAACTGAGAACACCTCTTTTCAGTTATAGCATAACATTGCTCAGAGTAAAAGTCAATATCCATGTCTTCCACCTCATTCTGCCTTGTCTGCTTTCTGGCCACTCTCATGCTCTGATTGGCTCATGATGGAGACTCGCAGGAAAGCTCAGAGGAGGGTTTGCAGCAAAAAGGTTGAAAAACATGCCCACGCTTTTCCTTCTCCTCAAGTCTCTGCCCTCTTTCCAAGCTGGATGACTTTTGATTAAGTTGTTTATTCCCTGCCTTAAAACTGAAACAGGAAATTTTCAGATAGGAGGAGGATCATTTAGTCATAAACACTGAAGTGGGCCAGATTCTATTCTGGGTCAAATCCTTGACTCTGCGCAGATGTCGATAACTAACACTGAAGGACTAGAGCAAGTTTTTCCATATAAAACAAATAAATCAAACATCCTGTGCATGTCTTCATAGGGGTCTAATAGCTTATAATTCCTGACTGATCTGGACACAGCTTTGGCCCCAAGGTTATACCCCGTCATGTGATAGTTATTACAGAGCCCGAGCCCACGTCTTCTTCCTGGAGAGGTTAGGCAACACATCAAATTAAGCCTTGGGTTTCTTCCTGTTCTAGCAATCTGCAAGGCCACCAGCTTAACTTTTAGCTGCTAGAAGATAGACACCATTTCACATTTTGGCATTTTGTCCTAGCACATGTTTTGTGTTTCTTCCAGTTTACAGGAAAAGCTCTGATAGTCATTGGAGTACTTTATTCCTTTCGGTTTTGTTTCTTTTCTTGTTAAAAACAAAAACATTAAAAAAAATTGGAGGTTTTTATTGTTCCTCCTATTACTTCATGCTTTCTTTGAGGCATTTGTACAGTAGTCTGTTAACTTGGTAGGTGGTACCTGAAAAGGTATTTAGGTGTAGTGACTGCGTAATAAATATTTAATTGGATGACGGAGGAGAAAGTGTCTTCTCATGGAATTCTCTTTGGAAGTCATTTTGAGTGACAGATACATTTTAGACCTATGGAGAAACAGTCTCAGATCCTACCAGGACATTTTCATAAGAAAGGAAAATAGAAGGTTCCATTTTAGTATGTATAAAATGTTGACACAGAAGTCAATGTCTTTTATCTTTTCAGTTTATCAAAAAAGGATGGTCAGTAAAACTTAAAGGTGTGGTTAGATTTTTTTTTACTTTTGTAACATTAATTTATGACTGAGTTTCATTCAGCCCTGTAATCTGAAATACTGTGCAAATTCTAGCAGTGTGTCTTCTATAACCTGGATGTTAGAATAGCCAATGCGTACAAAAAAAATCAAGTATTTTGTCCTATGTATAACACAAATTAATTTTACACAGAGAAAGATGTTTCTAGGAAAATGAAATTCTGATAATTCATACTATTTCTTTGTATGAACGAATAAAATATATTTTACCAACTTATGGAGAATTTTATGTTTTATTACGTGTTGTGGATGGACAAGAAAGCGATATTTTATTTAATAACTAATCACATGCATGCACACATACACACACACCAAACAAAGGGATTCTAAAAGCAGGTTGATCTTTCAGTTTGTAAAAGGTCCAATTCGCATTCCAACTAATCCACAAATATTTGGGGTAAACTTTCATATATGACTCTGAAAACTGCAAGATGGATGAGAGGGCTTCTGTCCCCTGGAGGAACATATCTCCCCTAGAGGAAGTGCTGTTTATCACATGAATTCCAAGAACGCCATGGGGGTTGCCATGTGTGGGGCAATGGGAGATATTGGTCAAAGGTACAAACTTTCAGTTATAAAGTAAACAAATTTAGAGATCTAATATCCAGCATGGTGATTATAGCTAATAACATTGTATCATGTATTTGAATATTGCTAAGAGAGTAGATCTTTAATGTCCTCACCACCAAAAAAAGAAACGGTTATTATGCGACACAATGGAGATAGTAGCTACTGCTATAGTGGCCATCATTTTACAATTCATAAATGTATCCAATCAACACATTGTACACCTTAAGCTTACACAATGTTAAGTGTCAATTAGTAAAACTGGAAAAAATTAAAAATAAAACATAGTAAAATACAGTAAATGTTTCCCATGTGATTGTAACAGGTAGCCAAGACTGAGAGCCATTGTTCTCAAAGGGGTTTCATCAGTATGCCCTGGGAACTTGATAGACATGCAAATTCTCAGGCCCCATCTCAGACCTACTGAATCAAAAACTCGGTTTAAGGTTTAACAAGCTTTCCAGCCGAAAGTTTGAGAAGAGACTTCGTATCACTTTAAAACTAGAGAGCTTGGATTCCTAATCAGGTACATTTTCCTCTGTACCATGCTGTTCACCAATAAAGTCAATTACTAAGCAGTCAGCCCTAATCACTGTGGCTCTCCTTCAAGTTAAGGGAAACCCGGCACCTTCGATCTCACAGCATTTCAAAGAGTGGCCATATCTGCCTGGCTTCCCTCACTCCTCAGAGTCCTCTTTTATCAGGCAGCCTCCCAAGCCATCACCTATAATGTGTTCTTGAAACTGCCTGATGGAAATGATAGACTTATATATCATGAGGGATTTTTTTAAAGAGCTAAAATCCTTAAATCCCTAATTTTATCTTACCTTCTAGATTCAATCTTTGACAACATATTTCCAGTACTTTGTATATAACTGGTAATTATTTTTTCTTATCCTTCACAATTGAATACACAATTGACTCCCTAAAGTCCACTGATGGGCCATCCAAGGTTAAAGATTCCATCTGGCCATTATGTTCTCAATTATAATAAGCTTGACTAAACCCACAGCCTCTATCACTGGTATCTAGTTTTATTTTTCCATCCTCATTCATTTTTATTATTACCAGGTGTGAAACACTATAAAATTGTTATGTTATTGCACAACGTCTGCTGTCATAACACATCTATGGTCACAAAGCCTGCATTCCCCATTTGAGAGCTTGAGATGTGTTTGTTCCCATCCAGCAGTCTATTTTTGTGTGAACTAAAAGTGACCAAAGGACCCCAGTGCATAGTTTCCTGAGAAAGATGAATATAAGGCACTGAAGATCCTGCCCCTGCCTTTATACCTGTGTAAGAGTGTTTGAGGTGGCTTTATGTCTTCCTTTACAGCCCCCAATGCTCCTCCCTTGCTGTGTAGAAGCTGTTACAGTTCCTCCATGGAATTCTGACCTCAAAACATCTAGGCCTTGCATACTTTCTCCTTCTATATATTTAGCAAGAGAAGAGATAATAGAAGACACCAAGTCTCTGTTGGAGTAAACACTGGGAAGGCTCTGGAACTTCTTGAGAAGGGCAATTATCTGATGGGAGAGATGTTCAGAGTAGTTGATTTGGGATATAATATTCCATATGAATTGGAGCAAGAAGAGGCTGGAGTCAGAGATCAGTTGATTCATTCAATAAATATTAATCGAATGCCTATTGTTGCTAGGGACACAACCCTAAATGAGACACATTTCCTGCTTCAAGGAACTCATGTTCTATGGGAGGAGGGGGGAGCTGAAGATGTAACTCAAATGCAGTGTGATAAGGGCCACAACAAGGTGCCGTGGGAAACCAAGACAGGAGTATCTAACCTAATTTGGGACAAGATAGAGTAAGGGTAGGATCAAACTTACAAATCTGAGAGATGTAGTCAGGTAATTGAAGGGAGGGTGGTAGAGAAGCAGAAGGATAGATTTGTGTGCAAAGATCTAGATGTGAATAAATATGGCCTGTTGGGAACTGCAGGCCACTCAATATGGATGTAGCATGGAATGCGTGGGGGAAAAGGAGAGGATGGTCTGGAGGGATAAGCAGAAGATTCTATCATAGGCACATTAACAGCAGCCCAGCTGCTTTTGAGCTTAAAACAGTTTTTCAGTTGCCTACCTGACATCTCTATTTGGGTGTCTCCATATCAAATAAAAACATGCCCCATATTGAACTCTTTGTTATCTTTACTAAATCTCTCCTAATCTCACCTGCTTGGGAGTGCTCAAACTAGAAAACTTGGAGTCACTATTCGCATCTCTTTCACATTTCTCATGTCCAGTCCATCATTAAGTCCTGTCAAGACAACTTTCAGGAAGTCTCCCAAGTCCATTCACTTTTTTCTATCTCCTCTGACACTACCACCTGGTACAAGCTGACATCCTGTCTTACTTGACTCCTACAGCGGCAAGTGTAGGAAATCCTGCAATGCCTCCCACACATTTTCTCTTGCTCCTTCCAATCTATTCTGTTCATAACTATCTGCAGAATCTTTTGAAAACTCAGATTAGATTGTGTACTCTTCCACCTAAAAATACTAAGTAGCCACCCACTATGTTTCAGATAAATTCCAACTCCTTAATTTGTCGTGGAAGTTCCATACCCAGCTTCATTTTATCCCCACTTCTTATTGGTCCTCATGTTTCAGCCACAATAGTCTTCTTTCAGTCCCTGGAAAGAGCTACATTCTCTTTGTGAATGTCTTTCTCCCAACTTCTTGCCTGGCTAACTTATACTCTTCTTTCAAGTCTCAACCTACCCACCCCACCCCTCATCAGCATGAATTCCCCAGTGAGGTCTTCTCCAACTGCCTGTGGTAGACAGTTACCACAAGGAGCCACACCTCCTGGTACTTGCACTCTTGGTTAGATCTCTTCCACACTGACTTGGTGGTAGGCCTGTGATGGTTTTAACCAATAAAATACAACAGAAACAGGGTTGCCCCATTTTAGGACAAGCCCTTGAATGGCCTGGCCACTTCTGCTTCCGCTCTCTTAAAACACTTACTCAGTCTTGGTATGCTCCCCTTTGGAACCCAGATGCTATGCCATGAGTAGCCCAAAACACTCGGAGAGATCATGTGTAAGCATTTTGGTCAACAGTCTCAGCTGAGCTCCCAGCAGACAGGCAGCCTCAACTGACAGCCATATCAGTCAGCTGTCTTGGGTGTTTCAGAGCACGCAGCCTAGTGCAGCTATAGTCAACATCATGTGGAACAGAAGAACCACTTAGCTGAGCTTAGTCAACCAATGAAATTGAGAGAGATTCTAACTGCCTTTTGCCTTAAGCTACTAAATTTTGGGATAGCTTAATATGCAATAATAGATTATTGGAACAATCCCCAATCTAAATGAACTTCTGCTCTTATTTTAGCTCAGCTCAGAGAATCCAATCCCCTTCCTTCACTACACTTGCCACAGTTTATATTTATGTATGTATATCTGTTTGCTTGTTGCCATTCTCTAGCACTGGGCTTATCTCCATGATAGCAGACTATAGCTTCTCTTTCACCAGCAAAGGATCTTCAAGACAACTAATAGTATTTAAATGTCTGTTGAATAAAAGAATAAGGGACTTGGATTATATCCTGATGGTAAAAGATACAAATTTTAAACAGATGAATGATAACATAGTTTTATATGAAGAAAAAAGTGATATTTTAAAATCTAGCTTTTAATGAGGGCAGAAAACTTCTTAGCTTTTCTTATAGTTGAGAAACCATAAAGACTTTGGGTTTTGAAGAGAGAAGGCTTTGGGCTAAGTCTGGGTAAGAGAAGAAGAGACAAGAGAGGTTAAAGGTTATTGAAAAATAATGGTAAAAGTAACTTCGTTGGGCAGAGAAAAAATACATTAAAGGATTTTAATTTTTTTGAGATGGGCTTTAGAAAGGAATTTAAGAAGACAGGAACCTGGCTGGAGTGGGGGGTGGGAAGACATGGAGGGAAATTTGGATCTGAGAGTGTCCTCCAGGGACATGGAGAGAGGCAGGTTTCCAAGGGAGACATGTATAGATTCCCTATTGTGGAGGAGCAGTTAGGCCTATGTATTAGCTTCCTGTGGCTTCTATAACATAAGTACCACAAACTGGGTGCCATAAAACCCAGAAATGTATTATCTCACAGTTGTAGAGGCCAGACATCTGAAATCAAAGTGTGGGCAGTGCCATGCTTCCTCCAAAGCCTTTAGCAGAGGACCTTTCCTTGCTTCTTCTGGCTCTGGTAGCCCAGGAATTCCTTGGTGTCAGCAAAACTCCAATCTCTGTCTCTGCCTTCACATGGCTGTATTCCTTCAGTGTTCATGTTTTCACATGGCATTGTCCTCTCTGCATGTGTCTGTGTCCGTATTTTCTTCTTCTTCATATTGGACCCCACTCTAATGACCTCAACTTGATTACATCTGCAAAAACTCTATTTCTCAATGTGGTCACATTCACAGATACCAGGAATTAGGACTTTAACATAACTTTTTTGGGGATACAATTCAACCCATAACAGTTTGTTACTCAGTTTAAGTCGTTATTCCCCTCCAACATACAACCCCAAAGCCTTTTTTAACTACCACAGGTTTTGTGAACTTTTACAATAGAATATTGAAAACCTTTAGCTCTGCCTTTTGGCATGAAGGGAAGATTTGGAGAATTGAGTAAGAGAGAAGATATACACCACAAAGGA